CTGAGTTAACTTTAATTAACAGATTATATAATAAAGTCTTTAAAATTAAAACAGGATGTCATGATAAAACCGGCACCGTTTATTTATTTTTATCTTCACTGATTAAAAAAACAACATTTTTTAAAAATACATAAAATGTTTTTAAAAATCGTTTCCAACCTCCGTCCCAGACCCGTCCCGGTCCACCTGTCTGCCGGGGGTCAGGGTCCGGACTTCATGATCACGCGAGGCCGAGGCCTGGACCCCGGCCTTCTGCGAGTCGGCAGCTCGTACGATCCTCCGTGGTGACCAGCGGAGCTCGGTTTCCTTGACTGATGAAGCCTTCTGGATCGAAGGCGAAACGTTTCAGCACAAAAAAAAAGAAACTGTCCAGATGACCTGACTGAAAAGTGTTGGATAGGTCCAGCTGCTGCTCCGAGCACGAGTAATTGCAAATGGCGGATCGTTTGTTTTGAAAAGATTCTCAAAGATCCAGCTACTCCACCCTCTGACCAGTCAGTGACCGACAGTGTTCTGACGTCACGTTTGGTGCCGGTTCGGCCCACTTGGAACCCCAGAGACAAGGGTGCTGAAAAAAGGACCGGTTCTACGAACTGTTACTAGTTGAAAAGCCCTGGAACTGTGCCGAGCCAAGTCGAACCGCGCTGTGCCTTTACTAATGGAAAAGGGGTAAACGCATATACAGTAGCAACATTAAGGGATAGTTTAGGAAACCAAAGCTGACCCTAACATGTGGCATGGAGGCTGCACAGCTGCAGAATGAAAAGCTTTGCAGAGAGTGGTGAAGGCTGCACAGAAGATGTTGGAGTCAGCCTCCCCACCATCACAGACATCTACACCTCCAGATGCAGGAAGAGGGCCACCTGCATCATGAAGGACCACACTCACCCAGCACACACACGTTTTGCCCCGCTCCCCTCAGGAAGGAGGTTGAGGAGCATTAAGTGTAGAACCTCTAGACTGAGGAACAGCTTCTACCCTGAGGCTGTTAGACTCATGAATCTCTAACCAGGAGAATCACTGTGAAAAAAATCACATCATGTTGCTGCTGATCTGTTTCATGTTGATGTGTTCATGCATGCACATCTGCTCACACAGACTCATGTTCATGTTTGTGCTGATGTTCGACATGATGTTTTTATGTCTTGAGTGCTCAGTGTATTTTTAGTTGATGTTGTTCTTAGTTCATATCTTAGATGTTATTACTGTTTTTCTTTTACATTTTATTGTTGGGTGTAACTGGGACCCTGTGGACATAATTTTGCTCCACCACATGTACCACATGAGGTGCGAATGACAATAAAGAAACTCTGACCCTAACTACAGAATTTATCAAAAAGGAAAGTCTTCAAACTGGACAATGTGTCAGCCTCACGGACAGAAACTGGAAGTTGGTTCCACAAGAGAGGAGCCTGAGAACTGAAGGATCTTCTTCCCATTCTGCTTTTGGAAACTCTAGGAACCACAAGTAAACCTGCAGTCTGAGAGAGAAGTGCTCTGTTAGGAAACTATGGAAGAATAATGTATGTAATTTAAGATGGAGCTAGGTTGTTGAGAGCTTTGTAGGTTAGAAGTCAGATTTTGAATTCTATTCTGGACTTGGCAGGGAGCCAGTGGAGAGAAGCTAAAACTGGAGAGAT